AGGGTGATGTTGTAGACAAAGTTTATGTCCTCTCAAAATTCCCATGTTGAAGACCTCATCCCCATGGTCCCAACTGGATGGTATTTGGAGATAGGAACTTTTAGTTGGAGTGTTTAAACCATTTACATTTAATGTAATTGCTGATAACACAGGATTTAAACATGGTGTTTTGATATTTGTTTTCTGTATGCATTATGTTTTGTTGTTATTGTTGTTGGGCTTTTTGTTTGTTTTGAGATGGGATCTAGCTGTGTTGCTCAGGCTGGTCTTGAACTCCTGGTCTCAAGTGATCCCTCTACCTCAGCCTCCAGAGTGTTGGGAGTAAAAGCACATATCATTGCACCCAGTTATGTGTTTTATATTTCTTTCTTTTTCAATTACCAACTGACACTTGTGTAGATGTGTATTTCCTAGTGTACGGTTTTAATTCCTTTACTTTGTTTTATGTGTTATTTTCTGAGTAGTTGCCCTAAGGATTACAATAAGCATCTTAATTGTTAAGTCTATTCAGCTTCATATGAACTTAATCTCAATACTACATAAATATTTTTGCCTCTATGGATCTCTGCCCACTCCCTTACTCCATGCTGTTATTTTTATACAAATTATATCTTTATACATTGTATGCCCCATCATCACAAATTTCTTTTCTTTCTCTCTTCCTTTTCTCTTTTTGGTAATGAAGATTGAGCTCAGGGGTGCTTAACTGCTGAGCAGCATTCCCCAATCCTTTTTATTTTTATTTTTTTAAATTTTGAGACAAAGTCTTGCTAAGTTGCTGAGGGCCTTGTTGAGTTGCTGAGGCTGTCTTGGAACTTGCAGTCCTCCTGCCCCAGTCTCCCCAGTTAGGGTGTGTGCCACTCTGTCCCAGCCTCATCATCACACATTTCTAATTATTGTTTTGTCATTTAAATAAAACAGAGAAAAGAGGTATAAACAAAAACCCCACTGTCTTTTATATTTACCTAAGTAGTTAACTTTACTGGTGCTCTTTATTTCTTCCTGCAGTTTGTATCAAGTATCCTTTCATTTCACCCCAAAAGGCTCATCAGGGCATGTTCTCTAGTGTTAAGTTCTTTCTGTTTTACTTATGTGGAAATGCCTTACCTTCTCCTACACTTTTGAAGGATTGTTTCGCTGGATATAGAATTCTTGGTTGATAGTCTTTTTTTGTTGTTTATTTTTATTTATATATGACAGCAGAATGCATGACAATTCTTATTACACATCGAGAGCACAATTTTTCATATCTCTGGTTGTACACAAAGTATATTCACACCAGTTCCTGTCTTCATACATGTACTTTGGATAATGATGTCCATCACATTCCACAATCATTTCTAACCCCATGCCCCTCCCTTTCCCTCCCACCCCTCTGCCCTATCTAGAGTTCCTCTATTCCTCCCATGATCCCTCTCCCTACCCCACTATGTATCAGCCTCCTTATATCAGAGAAAACATTTGGCCTTTGGTTTTTTGGGATTGGCTAACTTCACTTAGCATTATTTTCTCTAACTCCATCCATTTATCTGAAAATGCCATGATTTCATTCTCTTTTATTGCTGAGTAATATTCCATTGTGTATTTTTGCCACATTTTTTTATCCATTCATCTATTGGAGGACATCTAGTTGGTTCCAAAGTTTAGCTATTGTGAATTGTGCTGCTATAAACAATGCTGTGGCTGTGTCCCTTGATAGTCTTTTTCTCTTAGCAATTTGAGTAAGACATTCAACTGCCTTCTGGCCTCCAAGGTTTCTGATTAAAAATCAGATGTTAGTTTTATTGAGACTTTCTTATACTTGATGACTCACTTTTGTCCTATTGCTTTTAAGATGCTCTCTTTGTCTTTTGTTTTATTATAAATTGTTTAAGTGTGAATTTCTTGTTGAGCTCTTTGAAGTGATGATTATTTTTTTAATCAAAATTGGAAAAATTGAAGCCATTCTTTCAAATGTTCTTTTCTCACCCTCTCTCCTCTTCTGTGACTCCCATGATGTGTATGTTCATATGCTTGATGACCTTTGAATCAATGTTTCTGCATCTCCGAGAGATCGGAGTTGCTTATATATATATATATATATATATATTTATATTTCTTCTTTCTGCTCTACAGATTAAAGAATATCAATTGATCTGCTACCAAGCTTGCAGATTATTTTCCTTGGCCTGTTAAAATCTGCTGTTTCATTTTTTAAGTGAATTTTCCATTTCAGTTACTGTACTTTTCAGCTGCAGAATTTCTGTTTGTCAATGATTTCTATGACTTTATACACATTCTCTATTTTCTAGATTTTGTTCTGAGATTTCCTTTAGTTTTTAGATATGGTTTTTTAACATATATTCTCTGAACATATTTAAATAGTGAATTTAAGTTCTTGTGTAGTGAGTCCAACACCTGAGATTCTTTGGAGACAGTTTTTCATGGGTATAGGCCAAGTTTTCTTGTTGATTTGCATGTCTTATGCAAGTGTTTTGCATGTTTTATACAAATATCTGGTTTATTAGCTGAACATTGGATATTTAAAATATATAATGTGGTAGTTTCTGGAAATTGGATTCTCCCTCCCCTCAGAGTTTGTTATTGTTACTGGTTGTTGTAGTTATTTGTTTAGAGACTTTCCTGAATCAATTCAGTGAAGTCTGTATTCTTTGTCATATGAAGTTTCTGTAGTCTCTCCTTGGTTATCTTAGTGGCCAATTAATGGTTATGCTGAGAAAGGCAGTCTTGTGTGTGCAATCTTTCAAACTTCTGTTTAGTCTCATGAGAGTGAGCCTTGGGCCTGAGATACCTCCTTACCCTAAGATGAGGAGCTCACATGGTGTGTACATTATGTGGTTATAGCTTTTCCTGCTTCAAACTCAATATGTACTCCTTTGTTTTTTTTAAGTGTCTGCATCAAAGGCCCTCAAATATGTCCCCAGTTTTCAGTTTTCAGACTCTATTAGGGAAGGGGAGGAGCCTCTAGGCTCAAGAGCAGTGAGCATAGCCAATTGCTTGGTACCAGTGACTTGGGTGGGGGGACTTGTTAACTATGGGGAATGATGCACATTATTGAAGTCCTCTTGCTCTGTCTCCTCTCCATCTAAGTGTTTTTTTACCCAGTTCTGACTGTGTTGTTTTCCTTGGAGATTCCCATGCAGATGCATTGAGCAGAAGTGCGTAGAGTCTACCCTGGGGACTGGTGACCACTCTCTCCCCGGGGTTCATAACTGGTATACACTCTTCTACTTATCAGTTTGGCACAGTGATCAGAGTTGCCAAAGAAACACACCATGGCAGGGTGTAAATGCAACTCCACTCTACCAGGGGAGAGCCAGCTCCCTGGGTGCAGTGGGTTGGTTGAGGCTGGCCACCATCTGGCTGCACAGAGATAAATGAGATGAGGCATGAACTCCCATGGAGTTCTGGGGGTTGGAGATGATGTCTGGGGGAGGTAGAGGGCCTGGTACAGAGAGTGCTTGAGGACCTCTAGTGAGATGAGTTCTCTTGTAGTGCTGAGCAACTCTTGGTGTTGCTTAAAAATGGGGGAGAGTAGACAATCAAAGGGCAAATATGGAAAAAGTCCAGGAACGTCTCATGCAGCTCAGTTGTGGTTTGTCTGATATTGGATCATTTTAGACTCAAATGTCTCGGGTAGAATGACACATCAGGATGGAAACCAGGCATGTAGGTCCCACCAGACACCAGGGGCCCTGTGCCCCTGTTGAGATTAAGAGGGAATCCAGGAAATTCAGACTTTCAGGCGCTTTTGGATACTGGTGCTTACACGACAATATTTTTAGGAAATATTAGGGGGAAAATTAACCTGGTGACATTGCGGGGGAGGGAGATTTGGGGCAAATTCAGTGACCCAAAGTGTTTTTCTGCTTGTGGTCATTGAGCTTGTGTGAGGGCCCCTTGGGCTATTTTGGGGTGCTGGTGACCACGGTTCCCATTGTGAGTGAGTCACAGGGCTGACATTTGGCTGCTTGTGGCATAGAATGTCACCATCTCCTGAGGAGGTATGTCTCTGCAGAGCTAAGAATGTGAGCCACACAGTGGGACGGGTGCTCTTTGGCCTGACACCTGAGGTACCCAAACGCCCGTGGGCTACTCAATAGAAAGCAGCCTGCAGACTGGGTGGACCAGGGGGCATTGCTTTCTCAACTGGGCACTGGCTGCAGCAGGGCTGTTACAGACCACCTTGTCCCATGGACAGTCGGGCTCGGCCGGCCCCACAGGCCTCCAGGGCCCAGAGCTGCCAGTGGGCTCTGCAGACTAAGTGCTGAGGTGCTGCCCTTGGCCCCTGGAGTCCCAGGTGTCCTCCCTGTTCCCCTCAGGCAGGGACAGAGATGGGGAGGCTGTCCTTGAATTGGCTGGTACCTTTTCTCTATCTCTTCACCCAGCGGGTGACCCCGAAGCTGTTGAAGTCAAGGATGCCCCACAATCTGGAGATTCGGGCCAGTGGGTCCAGATGGCTCCAAGAAAAGAAATTGTTCCCAAAGAAAATTGGAGACATTACCGAGAACTAGAAACTGCCTGGGTCTGGCCTGTTGACCCCTCCAGGCCCACGCTCTGTTGTCCCTAGCCACCTGGGTCAGGGCCAGTCCCAGCCGGGAGCCCTCACGTGATGCTGAAGCAGCACAAGACGCCCTAGTGCAGAAGAGGAGCGGTTTTATTTGGTGGGGAGCAGGGGAGGTTCCACACACTTAGGGGGAGTGTTAGAGTCTGTAAACAAGTCAGGATGGCGCCTGGCAAAATGCCAGAGGGAGTGGTTTGTGAAGTAACGCCAGCGAGCCATTAAGTGTGGAGATTCCTTATTGGTTGACTGCTGTATCTATTTATGCTAATTAGATAAGCTGTGTGGAATGTATAAATACCGCTCCTGTCCTACAATAAAGGGCTCCCACTCCTGCTGTATCAATCTGCACAAGTTGTTCATCACCCCCCGGCTATTTTGCTGCAGCCAGGGGAGGAGGGGGCACAGGCTCCCAGGGATGAGGCAGCCTTGTCATTTTCTAGGACGTGGGGCCAGCCTTCCCTGTCCTGGGCAGGAGCGGGTGGACTGCAGCAAGAAGCGGGTCTGTGGGGAGAAGAGCCCAGTCAGCAGGGAGACTCAAGGTCATGGACTCTTTTTGGGGGGGTTGGTGCGGGGGATTGAACTCAGGGGCGCTCGACCACTGAGCAACTTCCCCAATGCTATTTTGTATTTTCTTTAGAGATAGGGCCTCCCTGAGTTGTTGAGTGCCTTGCTTTTGCTGAGTCTGGCTTTGAACTTGCGATCCTCCTGCCTCGGCCTCTCAAGCTGCTGGATTACAGGCTTGTGCCACTCGCCCAACAAGGTCTTATTGGTATTGATCCAACATCAAATGGCCCTCCAGGGGGACAGGAGGAGGCTGAGACCCTGGGCCTAGAGGCTTGGCCTCAGTCACAAGGGTAGCCCAGGCTGGATCATGCATTTGAGAGCGTGTGTCCATGAGCTCAAGTGGACTTGCGTGTGGTGATTCTGGATGT